TGGAAGTAGCATTTTATTTATTTATAAATAACCCTATTATCCGCTGTACCATGTAATCACGCTTTGTTTTACCTCTTTTCTGACCTTGCGGTTTGCAGAGCTTTCTTCTATCGCAGAAGTTGTTGTCTGAGCCACAATACAGACATGAATTTAGCACACGCCGGCAAATTATGTGCACGGTACAAAATTACATAGCCAAGAAGGCACCATATAGCTAAGCACCCTACATGCCATCAGACTTTTGATGATGTTTTTGAGGCAACCCTGCCTGTTTGTTTGCCCGTCTGTCTGTCTGGTAAGCTGCCTTACGTTCTTTGTCTGTTCATCCCAAAATTTCCGCAAAAGCTTCGGCCGATGCATGCCAGTACGTCCTAAGTTCCTGGCTGCTTTCTTCTCAAACTCCGGCTTGCTTGAGTACTTGATATTTTCTCCTGAATATGACAAACTATTCACTCTCCTGAAGAATCCGCTTTTCATTCGAAATGTAGATTATTATCTTTATTTTAGAGAGCTGCTAATTTTATGGGAGCACATCAATTAGGCACAGCTCATCTTGCAATCACATTACCATAAGTTACTAACCAGTAACTATATAGTTACTTGGATACGTTGTTCCACAACGGATGGCAGATTATTCTATCCTTTGTAACCAACATTGCCAAAGGCAGCTGTGCAGCTTCACGCGAGGGTTCGAACAATTTTTGTTGGTGCGTTTCAAACTTGCAAGGACATTCTGACAATCCATTTACCTGGAGCTTTACTGATGTCATTACAGGAAGCGCTTCGCTGCCCTTCCTTAGCGCTTGAACTAATTGGTTAGACCGCATTCACTTTTACGGTATGTACAACAATTTCGCTTCCATTTAACCGTTACACTGTACAAGCTCTCTTCATCTAGCTTTGTTACAAGGCCTACGTTTAATACTTTACTTGTCTCTTTTGCTCTGGCTATTGTTTAATAGTACGCACCAACTGCCTCCGCCGTATCGCCGACTTGCATTTATCACTGCACCCCCGCACTAATGAGCGGAAGACACAATGTTTCAGGCAAAGCTGCCTAACTATATCTATCCTCCAAACGGATGCCGTTCTTTATTTCTTGGAAGTTTTCTAGTTCATAACAACAGCAACAGTGCAAGTTCTCTCTTCTGCTCGCTTGGTATCACTTGCTTAATTCTATTCCACTTCCTAGCTCCTTGGCACCGGCATCTAGTTTCGTAGGCATCACCTACCTCCATTGCACCCCTGACTTACCTTTGACACTGCAGCTCCGCACGTATGAGCAAAGGAATAGGGTATTTTGTAACGTTCTCCAACTATATACATACTTAAGCTGACAACGCGCTGCGCTATTTTACCTTCTCCTTTAGGCTTAAACTTCCGTTCACCATTTTCATACCATCTCCCGTTTCAACACTATCAACTACAGTTTGTCATCGATTATATTAGTAGGCGCTATGCAGTTAAAATTTCTGGAGTCTACTGCCTGCTAGCCCTTCTTCTGCTTTTCTTCAGCCGCGGTCCACTAACCCATGTCTAGCTGTTAATCCCGCGCACCGCATATCCCCTGCTTTCAACGTCGTACCGTTTTCCTTACATTTAACCATAGTCTCCATCATTCTCAATATTTTTCTATACTTATTGACACCCATTATATTGGCGTGATTCATTAACGCTGCCGACTGTAACTACATCTGCCAGTTTTGCTCTCTCCTCACCTGACTCTTATAAGACGACTGTTTCCTCATCGTCCCGCCTGCGTACTTCGCCTTCTTACCATTGCTACACTGCTGCACGTTTACCGATGCCTGGTAGCTGTACATAAGTGATGCTATCCAACTTATTTATAAGAAGGAAAATTGCTACATAGGACAACATAATAATATTTACCCACAAAAAGTAGCAATGCATCCGTAACACCTCAAAGTCGCCATCACCCTTCACAACTTCGTTATTAGATGTCTTCATTTCCACGACTTTGCTTCCTCGCTTTTCCTCGTGACCCGCCTAGAAGGGTAGAATGTACTTACATGGCAAAGATCTTGAAGTTAACTATCGTAGGCCAAAAGACCTTTGTAAACAGCCAATCCGCTATATCCAGCGTTGCGTCCCCTCGACTGGTAACCTTATTCTGAACTACTGGATTAAATCCAATGCAACTTTGAACCTCATCTCAAAACAGGAATCTGCCTGTACCTGCAAGTCTTTTACATTTTTGTGATGCCAAGGCGCCATGCCCCGTCCACCTCACGATTGGTGTACTCCCATTGCGTTACCAGCATGTTTATCTACTTGGTGTACTTACTCCACTGATACACCTTAATAAATAGTTATTCTTGTTATCATCGAGACACAACTTATCCGGCATTATCAAAGTTTTGCAGATAATGGTTTGCGGTGAACACGTTGCGTTGCACGCATTAATGGGGAAAGCACATGTTAGAACAAGCTCAAAGGTGAAGTGGCAATTGTTGACGTTCATGTGGATGTGGCGTATTGTGGAAGCCTTATGTTGTGAATTTATTCAGGGGCGAGTCAAATTCGCCAAGTAGCAATATTGTGAAACACGCTTTCATAGCATCTTGTAGGTGGAACGCTTATCCAGCGGAAAATCACTAAGTCTTGGAACGCTGCCGCCGGTATTATGTAAATGTAGAAAATTGTGCGTGGCATGCCACAAAATGCAGGATAATTTAGGTGCTAGAAGTACGCTAATTTGATTAAAGGTTAACCAAGTTTTGAATTTCGATAAATATGCACAGACGATGGCAGTAGGGTAGCTGTAATGGAGAAAATTTTCTATCTTCTGTTTGCTTTTTCGGAAATTATGTAGCAAAGTTGTGTGATTTAGTCCTATATATGGTTGTGGCTGAAGGGTAGAACGAAGACTACAAGAAGAGATTATATTAAATGAAAGAATGTTGATGAAAGTATTGGGATTGTTTGCGCCTGGAACATGATTGACTAGTCGCTTTCAGCAGTCCCCATTTCCTTTTGATGGTGTGAAGCTGTTGGATGGATCCGGAAATGCAGATCGGCAAGGATCAAATTGTTTCATTTTGCTTGGACATTTATTTGTACTTTTCTGGAAGTGTAGTTGAGTCACCGTGTGAAAATTATTATCTCGTTATTTGAAACTAATCCACTGGCGGGGTGGACGGAGCAGAGCTCCACGGTAGGGTCCAATGGCGAGGTGGATGAAGCAAGAATGTTGTGTTCAGGCCAAATATATCTTTTCCGTCGTAAAGCAACTAAATAATACTAAACCCAGTTTTTCTGGCTCCAAAGCTATATGATTCTGTATGCTACTCGAAATAGTGTGAATGAGATGTCAGCGACATTCTTTCGACCGGCAAGACTGTATCGTACATAACGCGGCTGAGAATAGTCCGGTGTGGTCTATTTATTCCGTTTACGTTAAACGTTATAACTGGGTTAAGTGAAAATAACTTACAATGATAGTGAATTCTCAAGCAGCGGAGTAAGACTAATGGACACCTATAGTGAGGCCCGTATTGACAAGTTTTATAACTTTTATGTGTATACATTGCACATAGCAAAGCTAATAAACTTTGAAGTATGATATTAGATTAGAACTAAACATCGGAATGTCACTCGCTACTACTGTAAGCAGTGTAGTTAGTTAGGTATTGGAAAATATATTAGAGATAAGGATGTCAAATATGGGGAATGCAATAGGTGGGACGCATGGCTAAATATGTAAAGTCCAACTGACAACAGTGCGGGGCTATAGTGTCTAAGGTATGTCCATGAATCAGGGGAGGCAAACGGTGCGTACGGAGAAATGAAAGCCCCAGCCCAGGAAGTAAAAGACGGCTTAGGACAAGGTAAGGGAAAGAAAGCAAGTTGAAGGGCGCTTAAGCAGTGTTTTTAGGGTTAAACAGAGAAACGATCATTAAAAACAACGATGGCAGCTTAGGGGTAGGGATATGCGTAGGCAGGATAATCACCTTTATGAGGTCCTGCGCATAACAACGGGGGCATATATTGTCAAACATAAGCCTTTGGGGTGGCAGGGGTAGACGGTGTGCACGACGGCATGCAAGCCAGAGGCACAGTGGTAAGAGAAGGAGTAGGACAAGTCAAGGGAAACGAAGCAAAGTACTGTGCGCATATGCAACGATGCTGAGGTTAAATAGACCTCTAATTATTAGTGATAATGGTGGCAGTTAACTGGTAAGGATGTAGGTGGGCATTGTAGCCATATATTTGAGGTCCCACGCACAATCGTGCAGTGCTAACGCAACAAACCTAGATGTTGAAGCAGGAGAGGTAGGTGCTGCGTATGTGGAAATATAAACCAGAGCCTATGAGAAAAGAGAACGAGTAGGCCAAGGAAGTAGAAGCAAAGCAACCGCGTTGTGCCAGCTTGGTGGTTCGCTTTAATATCGTTCCCGCAAATACTTCGGCAGGAATGACGCAGAACGTAGTGGGTATCAGCCTGGCAAGCTTTCTCCGTATAAACAGCTAGAAATGTCCTTTTACCAACACTGCGAAGTGGCAGATATGACTCGCCACTAAATAAAGTCACTGCATCTTCCCTTTCCGGAGGTGTTTGTAGTGCAACAGAAAACATGCTCTTTCAGTATCTTGTAACATTGGATTTTATGGTTGTTTTAACCTTCGAAACGTCCATTTGTTTAACTGACTGCACATCCGTTGTCACAAACCGTTTTGGTGAGTTCCTCGCTGCACGTTTCTCGCTCTGTCTGATTCGCTTCCTATTCTTGTAGCCTGCACAATATACGTTGGGTTCAGTTGCCTCCGACTTCTATACTGTCGTATTTGACACGTCTTACGTGTCATTGCTTACCGACTAGTATCCCAGGTTCCGCCCAACAATTGGTGACCCCCTGTCAGGAACACGCCGCCCGCCATTTTGCATTTTCATTCTGGTGAGCTCGTTCCAGTGATTTTGTGATTCATTACTTGTGATCATATTGTTTTCTCACCTACCACATTTTTACCTGCTTTTTGCAATGGATTATCTAGAGGATAAGCCATCTCCATGCGCGGCTAACGCCGTTCAGCCTGTCATGGTCAACTCTGTTGCCTTAACCCCTCCCCCGTTTTGGGAGAATGATCCTTTATTATGGTTTTTGCACCTAGAATCCGTATTTTATATTCGTAAGCTTTCTTCTGATTTCGCCATGTATAATCAGTTAATATCTTGCCTTCCTTATAGTATATCCTCGCAGGTGAGAGACATCATACTTTGCCCCCTCTAGTAATGAAATACGAGACACTTAAACAGGCTATTATTCAGCGAATCACGCCTTCTGACAAGGTCCGTCTGCAGCAACTATTTAGTGATCTGCAGCTAGGAGATAGGATGCCCTCAGCCTTGTTGCGCGAAATGCAACAGCTCATCGGCACGTCCAACATGGACGTAGGGATTCTCCGCGAGCTGTGGATGCAACGCCTTCCTGAAAGCACACAGGCTATCCTTGCAGTAGCAAGTGACTTGCCCATCACAGCAATTGCAGATCTAGCAGACCGCGTCATCGAACGGCACCAACCAGAGACTGAAACCAAAGCACCCAAGCAGCTTTGCGCTGGCGCAGCCACGTCAGGCGCGACTAGCCCGCCGTCGGCAATAGACGCATTATCATTGCAGATAGCGTCGCTTCAGCGCCAGATCAAAGAACTCACCTTAAAACGTAAGCACTGCAACCGCTCCGGATCATCGCACCGTCGCACAAAACCTGATGCCTCGGGTTACTGCTTTTACCACTCGCGTTTCGGTACTAAAGCCCGTAAGTGCGCACAGCCTTGTAGCTACTCCGCTATAGATGATCCGCCACGCCGGGCTGTAATGGCCACGAACGTCGGCAAAGCTCAAAGTCGTCTCATCTACATTAGGGATTATGACTCCGATACCCAGTTCTTAGTTGACACTGGGGCTGAAGTCAGCGTCATTCCCCCTATGCCAGGTGAGCCTACGACTTCTCTGTCGACAAGTCTCAGTGCCGCCAATGGCACGCCAATAGCCACCTATGGTCATCGGTCACTTACCCTGGACCTAGGTCTTCGGCGTACGTTCCGCTGGGTATTCACTGTCGCTGCAGTCCCCTTTGCCATCATCGGCATTGACTTTCTCAGGCATTTCGACCTCTTGGTCGATGCGAAACGCCAGATGATAGTCGACACTGCAACAAAACTCAGCGTACGTGGCATCACCGCCGATGTGACATCTATATCCCCGGTCTATGCATTTCCCCAGACCTCGTCAGCCTACGCTAATCTCCTTTCTCAGTATCCCAAGCTCGTTCAGCCAATGAACGCAGCTTTGCCCGTGGCAGCTCAAGTCACGCACCACATACGGACGAATGGCCCACCTGTGTCATGCCGTCCACGCCGCCTATCGCCTGAGAAACTAAAGGTAGCTAGGGCGGAGTTTGAGCACATGCTTGAACTTGGAATAATCCGCCCTTCTGACAGCCCTTGGTCCTCGCCCCTGCAGATGGTCCCCAAGAAATCTGGTGACTGGCGCCCTTGCGGTGATTACCGCGCACTCAATCGCCTAACCGTCCCAGATAGGTATCCCATCCCACACATGCAGGACCTTACCGCATGCCTCACAGGTAAGACGATCTTCAGCAAGATCGATCTGGTTCGCGCCTATCACCAGATACCTGTGGAAGACAATGACATTCCTAAAACAGCCGTCATCACTCCTTTCGGTTTGTTTGAATTTTTAAGAATGCCATTTGGACTGTGCAACGCCGCACAAACCTTCCAGCGCTTCATCCACGATGTTACTCGTGGCCTAGACTTCGCATATTCCTACCTCGATGATATCTTAGTAGCCAGTTCATCGGAACAAGAGCACCTCGAGCATCTTCGAGCTCTCTTCCAGCGCTTGACCCAACACGGTGTCACAGTCAACCCGACTAAGTGCGAACTCGGCAAATCAACGGTAGAATTCCTAGGCCACCTCGTTTCATCGTCTGGTATCGAAGTCCTTCCTGATAAGATCCAGGCAATCAAGGACTTCCCAGCTCCGACTTCCTTCAAGCACCTCCGTCGATTTTGTGGTTTGGTCAACTACTATCGACGCTTCATTCCGCGCTGCGCTCAGCTCATGCAGCCACTGACTGACCTACTCAGAGGAAATGAACGTAAGTTCGCTTTCCCTGACACAGCACAGGCAGCCTTCGCCGAGCTCAAGGATGCTATCTCCAACATAGCCCTCCTCGCTCATTCCGAATCGACTGCACCTCTTTCTATTACGACTGATGCCTCAGACGTCGCGGTAGGAGCCGTCCTCCAACAACACGTTGGTGGGCAATGGCAACCCCTTGGGTTCTTCTCCAAGCGCCTGCAGCCAGCGGAATCCCGCTACAGCACGTTTGGCAGAGAACTGCTCGCCATTTACCTAGCAATACGTCACTTCCGGCACACACTTGAAGGCCGCGCTTTCACGGTCTACACTGACCACAAGCCCCTTATCTTTGCCTTCAACTCTGCTAGCGACAAATACTCACCACGGGAAACAAGACACCTAGACTTTGTCACGCAGTTCACTGCTGACATACGTCATGTCTCAGGTGTCGACAATCCCGTCGCCGACGCTCTCTCACGCGTCAACCTCACTCTGCAGTCTTTGCCTACCGTCGACCTTGCCGCAATGGCATCGGCTCAGGCTCAAGACGAAGATATACAGCGCACTCTGCAGTCCACTTCGCTGCATGTGCAACCTGTTCCTCTCCAAACCACGGAAGGAACCATCCTCTGTGACACGTCCACAGGTTGTCCTAGACCTCTCGTGCCCGTCTCCTTCAGACGCACAGTCTTTGACGCACTGCACTCACTGTCACATCCCGGTATCCGTGCATCTTTGAAACTGGTCACCGAACGTTTCGTTTGGCCACGCGTAAACAAAGATGTTCGTACCTGGGCTCGCGCCTGCCTTCAATGCCAGCGCTCTAAAGTACATCGTCACACCCGCAGTCCTCTTGGTTCATTTCCTGCCCCGGACTCTCGGTTCTCGCATGTACACTTAGACCTGGTAGGCCCATTGCCTCCGTCGCGCGGATTCGTATACATTCTGACATGTGTCGACCGCTTCACCAGATGGCCAGAAGCCATTCCCGTAACAGACTGCACAGCTGAGACTGTTATCCGGGCCTTCTTAGATCGGTGGGTATCGCACTACGGATGCCCATCCACGATCACAACTGACCGAGGAACGCCTTTCGAATCTTCACAATTCGATACGTTCTGCAACTTCTTAGGTTGTCGCCGCATCCATACAACAGCGTATCACCCAGCAGCCAACGGGCTAGTTGAACGTTTCCATAGACAGCTTAAAGCCTCGCTCTGCGCCTCCTCCGACCCTAGCTGGAGCGAAAACATTTCGCTCGTACTCTTAGGCATTCGCAGCAGCATCAAAGCTGACTTGCAATGTGCACCAGCAGAGCTGGTTTACGGCACGACGCTCAAGTTACCAGGAGAATTCGTTTCACCTCCCGCATCGTCGGGTATGCCTCCGCCTAACTTTGCGTCCTCCCTAGCTCAGCGCATGCGTTCACTACGCCCGACCCCGCCCCGTGAACAGACTAGAGATGTGCAAATGCACAGCGGACTCTCTACCTGCACTCACGTCTTCCTCCGCACCGACGCAGTGCGGCGCCCTCTCCAGCCTCCCTACACTGGCCCTTTCAGAGTTCTGCAACGGACTCCGAAACATTTTACTTTAGACCAGAATGGTCACCGAACAACGGTGTCCATCGACCGCCTCAAAGTGGCTTTCTTTGACGAGCCACTTGCAGCTCATCCTGATGCTCTCTCACAAGCACCCGCACCTGTGGTGACTTCCCGAGCACTGGATAACCCGGAACCCTCCGTACCCCTTGACCCGCAACCTATCCCGCCTCAACCCCAGGCAACCGACCGACGCGGTAGACAGGTCAAACGTCCGGTCCGTTTTTCCGATTTTGTAAGCGTTTGCTATTTCCATTAACACGCCTTTTTCGTCTTTAATGGTTATCCTGCGTCACACCCACAAACGTTTTGCAAAATCGACAAAAAAACCCAAAACATTTTGAAAAACCTAAAAAGCGTATTTGCTTTTATCATACATGCCATGTTCCCTCTCCGGCGTCAAGCCACTTCCCCAACCCTTGCCAACCCCCTCTGAGTTTTACTTTCCAGAAACTCAACCGCCGGAAGTGCCCAGGCAACCCTCGAGTGACTCGCCAACCGGCTCAACGCAATCCTGGAGTGACTCGCCAGCCGTCCCAAAGCCCCCTTCCTCATCCAAGGAACGGATAGTCGCCCTCGATCGCAGACACCCACGGACGAATTGGTCCCCAAACGCCGCTTAGGCATTGCCGACGAGGACGCCGGATTTCTTCGTGGGACGAGGACGCCCGCATTCCTTCGTGGGACGAGCACCCCTGGATTTCTTCGTGGGACGAGGACCGTGGACTAAAGTGCGGTGGGGGGAGTGACACCTCCCAAGCGCACCGTCGGGTCTGCAGCAATGGGAAGGTCCTGTCGGCCTTTTTTCTGGACTAGCCAGTTTTTTTTGCAGTCCGACCAGCCCGCCCCGACGGCCCACCGATGATGCACTCTGGTCCACACGATCGTCATAAATAAAACTAACAAAAGCCTGGACCCAGCGAAATCTGCTACACCCCACTTTGGAAGCCCTTCTCAAGCCCCTGCAAACATTCGCATCCACCCTCACCTTCCGTTCCCCCACTAACAGCTCCATCGAAGGCTTCCATCCTTCAGCCTTCTAGGGGAGGCCCTTGTAGTGCAACAGAAAACATGCTCTTTCAGTATCTTGTAACATTGGATTTTATGGTTGTTTTAACCTTCGAAACGTCCATTTGTTTAACTGACTGCACATCCGTTGTCACAAACCGTTTTGGTGAGTTCCTCGCTGCACGTTTCTCGCTCTGTCTGATTCGCTTCCTATTCTTGTAGCCTGCACAATATACGTTGGGTTCAGTTGCCTCCGACTTCTATACTGTCGTATTTGACACGTCTTACGTGTCATTGCTTACCGACTAGTATCCCAGGTTCCGCCCAACATGTTCCGCTTTAAGTACGTTATCCAATTTAAAGCGTTCCATGCTACATTCATAAGATGACGAATACAGCAAACAAACACACGAATGCAGCCACGCATCAAAGTTTAATCTCCATGCTCACGAATATTGCACTAACATATATACATACAAACAAATAATGCACGTTGCTGCTTAAATTGCTGTTTATACGACTAACAAACGTAACTGTTTGCAATATTATGATCGGGCCTTCACCGGCTTGCCAAGCACTTCCGAGAACCTGGCATTCGGGTGTACAAGTACAAGAATTAGAGATAACAATATCAGCTTGGAAGTAAGGATCTAGGTGGCAGCATAGTCAAATACTTGATGTCCAATGCCCAAAAGCATGGAGCTACTTAGTCCACGGCAAGTTGTGGGAGCAGCGGTGGTAAGTGGCGCGTATGACAGCTTGAAAGCTAGAGTTAAATAGATAGGAGAATTAGTAGGACAGGGGAAGCCAACTGAGGTAAAGCGGGATTATGCAGTGTAGTCATAGACAGACGGTGGGAAATGTATGAGCAATATGGCTGGCCAATAGGAAAAGTGGCAGAGGCTGGCAACTCGGCCAACCATTTAAGCTATTACGCACGGACGTGTGAGGCTGCATTGTCAAAGGTAAGTCGCTGGGGCTGTGAAGGTAGGCGGTGCGTATGAGGAAATGAAAGCTACAGCCAAAGTAGCAAGCTAATGATTAGGACAAGTCAATGCAGGCGAAGCAAAGTAACGAGAGATCATGCAGTCTTACGTTTAAATAGAGGAATACTCATTAACTATAACGATGTCAGTTTGCGAGTGAAGATATATGTAGGCAGCATAGCCATATTTTGAAGATATTGCGCACAGCAGTGCGAAGCTTTAATGTCAAAAGTAAGCCGTTGAAACAGCTGTGGTAGCTGGTGTGTAGGAATGAATAAAAACCAGATGAAAAGAAGAAAAGGCCTAGGACAATGCCAGCGAGCTTAACGAGGTGCAGTGGGATTATTCATGGTTGTGAAGGTTAAATAAAGGAACATTTATTAGTGATAACATTGTCGTCTTAGGGGCAATAACATAGGTAGGCATTGTAGACAGATACTTCAGGTACGAAGCGCAAAATGGTAAAGCTGCATTGTCAAAGGTAAGTCGTAGGAGCGGCGGTTTTATGTGGTGCATACGGCAGAAAGAAAGTCATTCAAATAGCTAAGCAAAGAAGTAAAGTGAGGCAAGGGGAACGAAGCTACGTCAAGGAGGATTACATAGGGTTATTAAGGTTAAATAAAGTTAAAGGTATTCTAGATAACGATGTTAAACTTTTGAAGTGTGTATGTGGACAGCATTGCATATTACTTAAGGTTCTGCGCGCAACGGGCCGTTCCACATTGTGAAAGGTACGTCAGTGGTTCTGCGGAGCTAGGTGTTACTTACTGGGGCAGTAAAGCCAGAGCCAGCGATATAGGAGAAGGAACGGGACTATCTAGAGCCGGGGACCTCGGCAGTGCGACGTGCAAAATATCGCATTCCATTGGGGCGCGTGTCTATTGTGTAAGCCCTTTCCTATCCTCCACTGGTTTGAACAATGAAGTGCAACAGCTTTTCACTTTGGAACCACACCACAAGGAACGCTTTAGCTACCATGATGTGTGCTATCTACTTGCAACGCCGTGGCCTTTATCTCCTTCCACCGCGCCCATTGGATTAATACTACGTTGTTTGGCTTCTTCACCTACATGGCGCCGTTAGAATTGCATACATTGCCCACATCGCCAATGAGATCTATTGGTACCGGTTGTGAAATTAACTTACCTAACTCATCATATATGGACATACAATGATAGTACACTCCACCATTTCAGGCATTTCGTCGCCGGTTCTGCATTCTCCACTTCATCGGACAACCGGGTACAAAGCCCTAGCACCTTCGGTACCTTACCTTAAAAAATTAAGGCTTCTTCTTTCTACCAGTGTTCCACTTGCTTACGATGTCATGGCGATATATGCCCCGTCCACCGCGCTAGTTGACTAATTCTGCGGTGTTTGGAAGCTTCACTTCTTGGCGGCATTATTCCATGAAGGCCACACCCACATAGCCGTTGTGGTCTACCAAAATCTTTTGATCTTCGAATGAAAACCTAACGGGGCTTGCAGTGTAACATCTAGTCATACTTGGTTTCAGGAGCCTAACCTTTATCGCTCTGCAATCATCTTACAACTTTCCGAGGGTTTTCTCATAAAGCAGACTGCGATATCTAAGTGGCCTGCGGGGTACCGGCGGGGATCTTAACACCTCTAATGAAATAACCGTCCACCAACCTTTGTCCTGTAGCGACAGGTCCAACCATTTTTGGTGAAACGACTAAGCACTCCGATCAGCCAAGGAAAACTTTGGATGTAGCATGACCGCGATTTACTGTGTATAACATATGTTTTAATACTACGTTGTCAGGGACTCACGACTGTTTGAAGTGCGAGCAACGGCAGTGTTTCATTGCTGTGGGATTTTGCCTGGCAAACGTTCGCCCTAAAATATCCAATGACGTCTGATTAACAAAACTGCGACGTGGCGTGTGGGAGGCTCCACCAAGTATGTTCAATGCTAGTGCTTCATATCGGCAAAGAGTTCAGCATCTGGAGTTACAGACCACAACGCTGTATGCACACAGAATATATTATTTGAGCCCGTGTTTTTTCAACAGCATCCTCAAACGCTTTATGTAAATATGTTTAAAGTAATCCTGTTCCCCTGGCAAATACTTCCTCACCTCTGTACTACTTTTCCTCCTTTCATCGGGCATAAACCTTTACATTTAATTTTGGTTTATTTACCTGCAGCTTTTCCGATGGTAATCTATGTAGTTTCCAACGGCCCATGGAAGTAATTACACTTCTATATAACTTGCCTAATTAACGAAATAAAATAATTGCAATCTTAACAGTGTGAGACATCTGTATACTCATGGTCTTGAAATACAACAAGGACGGGTAAATTAAAGGCCACACAAGCTTATAAGTAAAATAGGGATCCATGTGTTCATTGTGTAAGAATGCATGTAGGTAATGACAAGCGTGGACTTTTTAATTTAATTTCCAAAGGTAACGCCGTATTTGTGCTTGAGTTCGTGTGGCGTATGAAAAGTAAAATGAAAGCTTCCTATTGGGTAATGCACGTTCGTGGATTGAGTTACATCATCCGTATATGTAGAGACGAGGACTTTATTTAGTGGCGAGTCACAACCAACTCTATACAGTGTAGTGAAACGGAAATTTGTGAATTTGTAGAGTGAAAGCTTGCCCGGTGAATACCCACTCCGTCATGGAACACTGCCGTCGAACTATTTGCTAACGCTATGTAAACTCTCATCACCCAGCTAGCAGCACAAAGAGATTTGGCAGTGGTTCGGCTTTATCATTAAAAATTTACCCAGCTTTTGAAGGTATTTAATGGGAATTTTGTAGGTATCCCGCGTTTCACAATATATTGGCATTTTTACTTAGAATGGATCAATTCAGTAATAAGAATCAATTGCAATCATCACCTCCACGACCGATTCAGTGCGGGTACCTGGACCGGTGGTCTGCACAACCCGAACAAGTATATCACAGCAGAAAAAGCCAAAATGCATTACTTTGAAAATGTTACTCAGTCGTACAATTCTTCAACCGCTTGCATGAAACTTTTATACTTTCGACCGGCTTCAATGAATAATGGCGGAACCTGACAATGCCTTTCAGTCGACCCTTGCGAGAATTTATGCCCCATTTGACTGCCAATTTGGGGGGAAATCGGTTTGTATGATGCATTGCCAACTACACATTACCGTTCAAGTGGATGGACGGCATTTACCCAGGGCGTGGTGGATTTTCATCTGGCAACCGTTCTCCCTATAAGGAGCCACGAATGTTGATATAATAACACTGCGACGTGGCGGAGGCTATTCACCACTGAAGAACTTCATTGCCCACTGTCTTACACTGACCGTCATCAGGCGTATACATACCACCTCTGCTAACCAACTTATGACGTGGCGAAGTCAACTGATTTTGATATGTCGAATGCCTTTATGGAGCCACTACATTCTTAACCTTCCACGGAAAGCAGTTATACCGAAATATTTCATTGGCTGCTGTGTCGTCGATCCCCTAGATGACAACACGGCGAAAGGCAGCCGAAATTTGGCTGTTGCCACAATCGTTATACCCCGGATTTTTCGATGTACCAGAGTCATTATATTCCTTGCTCAATCTATTAACTGACCGAAGGCTCAGTCGTATAAACTGCGAACATTTTGGCTGTACCAGTTTTAGACAAAGAGTTATGCTATTCAATGCAGCTACGCTTGTGCGCATAGTTGCCCACACTCTCAAACGTGTGCCTTGTTCTAGCGAGCATATATATACTCAAATAAATGAGTGGTATATATCCCGAAAGGCCGTGAAAGGAAGGTGAAGACCTTCGGTCATAACTATGCAGAAGTGCATGTACAAAAGTTTATACAAAAATTGCCGTAAAGCGTACAAGACTTTAAAACGGAACAAGGTTCCACACGTTACACAAGCTATGTAGAAAGTTATTGTCCGCTGGTCCTCAAGGTCACGTAAACGTCGCACCATAAGAATTCAAATAAAATATTACCTGAACTCTAGGCGTCATCAAACACGCAGTTGTCTGGACTGCTATCGT